GCAATTCGGGTCTTTTCCGGGGCCTCGCTAGGTGTGGATTTTTTTCCATTATTAAAGTTAGTTCTACTGAATACGGAGATTTGAAAAAGACCTGCTTTATCCTTTGTACTTTAATGAAATGTGATAAAGGACTGCAGGGTTAAAAGAAATCATTTTCTGCCATTTCCTCATGCTGCATTGTATATCATTACAGCGCGAAAAATGTTGCAGGACTCATGTTTTTTGGCTCTACTGTGGTGATGTATATGAATTCTCAACACTACCCTTGTATCCTCCGTACCATAATTGCGAGTAATATAGGAGTGCAAGCTTTGGAAAGCTACTTAGCTCTATGTAATATGTCGTTACGGTGCATACAATACTGCAAAACTTTATAAAGCCATGCAGCCCCATATTGGAGTTATGTATTTCCCAGCGTTGTACTGTTCGTATTACGGTGGTGAGAATGCTACGGAAATCCTGAAATCTCGCAGTCCCGTACTTGGGTTCCGCATTCTCCACTCTTGTATAATGTGCCACTACAAGATGGAGTATGCTGTGGGACGTTTTTAATTCTTGCATTTATACAGATTGTAATATGAAAATTTTTGGGGTCATTGAACCGGGAGTGTCTGCAGACTTTCTCCACTCATTCTGGTAGGGCTGGATATTGTTCTTTTCTGGAACTTCCTAAACACGAGCTTGGCCCAGAGTGAACACTCCACACAGACTAGAAGCCTCTTGGAACTAGTAAATGGTCTTTTAAAAGTACACTTGCGAAAAAAATTGGCGAGTAATTTGGAGAACCCAACTCTGCCGGTCTGACTAAGATAGCTGAACAGTTCAATTTTAGAGCAGTAAAGCAGCTGCAGTCTCATCTCGGAATAAACATTTGGGGAACAGCAGAACTGTTATGGGTTCATAGATTGTTGTGTTAAAGTCCTGCTGTTTTAGGACAAATTTCTTCTACGCAAAAACCTACATCGCGGTCACGAAGATGAAAGTATTATGGAATAGAAACTTAAAACTTACTGACCTAATCCAAATTATTTGCTGAGAAAGAAGTCCAAGACTCTCAAAACAAACTAGTGAAGAAAAATCAAGCTTTATCCGTGAGTTTTTTCAGTAGGAATGCTTTTCTAGGTCAGTGGTGTCTCCAGCCTATCTTAATGTCCTACGAAAATATGAGTCACAGTTGGGTCTTACAGCTGTATTTTGCACTTTCTCTGTATTGATTAAAGTTGCTCGGATTACTTCTTTTGCCCTAGGCATGCTTCTAAAACGCGTCACATTGGCGATGGCGTCTTTCTGTAATAAAGCAAGGAGCGTGCAGTGGTATGACCTAACAAGGCATTCATTACTGAAAGAGTACAGTTTAGCAACTGCAGAGCAAAGAGGTTTACTACTTTCAAAGGGACGGTATCCCATTACCTCTTCTTAATGCAATTACATAAACTATGCAATATGTTATAGGCCGTTCCTCACTCTACTTCCTCAGCACATCAGTCACCAGACACCTATCACTTTTTCCAATTCCATTCCTTTCTTCCACAAGAAAAATAGAAAATGTGAAAAAAAGAAAGGTCACGACATGGAACGTGTCAAATCGCGTGTACTTCCTGTTACTTAGGCTACTTAAACCGAGTTCAGGCGACCAAAAGTGCGCCATATACATGGAAAACCGAAGAAAGCGGCGGAGAACTAGTCCACATACACTTCAACAAACAAAAAATAAAAAAAATCAAAACAAAAACCCAACAAAAAATAAATTCTGTAGTAGAGGACAGGTGTTTGCTGGAAGAACCATGCTTAATGTCACAGCTGCTGGAACATACCCCTCTGTTATGCAACGACAAAAAAGCTCTTAAAACTTTACTGTGATAGGTGCAAATTCAACACAAACAAATTGCAGGCAAAAATAAAAAAGGAATTGGATGCCGATCCGACAACAGAAAAAAATCTAAAGACAAAACTAGAAATCTCAAAAAGAAATTTAAAACCCAACAATAAATATACGCTTTTGGCGCCCCTCGTACTTTAATTGTAGCAGAAAGCTTTATTATCCTGTTATGAATTGGAATTCAGTCACTAAACAGAAATTCCCAACTTAGTTACAAAAATTAAAAATTTGCCACTCAAAGTCCCAACCAATTAAAATCCACCAAAACGCATAAGGACAACTTAAATCACAACAGCCTTACTTAAACTGCTTATTTTAAAAAGTCAAATTTGGTCTCAATACTCCCTTTTCAAAAAATTACTCGTGTGAAATAATCATAAGTTTTACGAATTGGAATTCTTGCCGACTAAACGCAGTATTCCAGAATACGGTAACACACAGCAAAATATTATATTCAGGTTACCAACGCTTCTTATAATCGTCGACAGACACTCCACCCGGGCCATATGCAACAAGCAAAAGGAGACCTCCAATAACAGACATTGTTTGGAAGAAATCATATTTCATGAAGTCACGATAAAAGCGATCAGAAGGAACTGTCCACCACGCATTGAAGTAGAAGTTAAGAATGAAAAGCCACAGCACCAATGCAAACGCGGAAAGCTGAAATATGCTGATAAGAGAGATAGTGAAGAGAGAAAAGACTTTGGAGGGAACCACAATGCTACAAGAATTACTAGTAAAATTGAAAAATTTTAAAACTTTTAATGGGGAAGTCCCAAATATGCGGGCTTTTCAACAAATATCTCTTCGCGAAATCTAACCTTTGTTTTGTATCCAACTGTTACACAGGTCAGCAGAAAACCACCGACCACCATGGCAATAACTTGAAGCACATTCCACTCAAAATGTATCAAGGAGAGGAACATGAGAACAAGGAAAATACGCCCTAGATAGTGAAATAACTGTCCAAAGCGATTATAAAGACTAGAAGAACTGCTAAACGACTACAACTGCGAAGAACTCACGTCTCTAGCAATAAAATACAAAGAAAAAAAATCCATTAAGGTGATGAAAAAGAAAGCTAAACTGCAAAATTAAAAACTTGAAAATCTAGCTAACCTGTAAGTAGCATGACTGATTTTCCACGATTCTGGTCGCCGACTTGTGGCACACCAGCAAAGAGACTTTTATTTTCCTCCTGAGTCTCTGCGAAAAGCATAAGAAGACCCCCACCTACTGCAACGTTCCTAAACAAGCGAATATGAATACAAATATGGTAATCTTGACTCAAAAACTTCTTCCAGTCCTCAACTCCATTTATTTTAGAAGCTAACTGCAAAGCGTGCAATTACCAAGTCTTTACAGTTTGGAAGGTCTTTTATTACTAAACCACAGTGGCGAAAAAACATTAACTAAGTAGTACTTTCATCGAACAGCAAAGCCCTTCATAATGTTGTTCTCTCAGCAGGTCCTAAACCTACAGTAACACTAATGGCTTCTTAATATTTTAAACTTCAGCATCATCTGGACCCCCAGGGATTCAACGGCATCAAACAAGAGAGGTCTTGAAACTAGTAACTGAAGAAAGATAGACCTCCATCAAAATCAAAAACGACTACCATTTCTCACTAACCTTTAAAACCTAAGAAACTGACAAGATTATTTGGAGATCAAGTAATGACACCGTTTGTGTCAATGAAGGCACTAAGAAACCATTCAGCTTCCAATAAAAATTTAGGTATGAGTTAGAAAATGCTTATAGTTGCACGTAGTCTATGTCTCGGTTGGAAACTGCTTTCCGAAGCTAATTTCCAAACTTTACTAGTCTAGCACGAGACCTGAAGTTAGTGGGTTCATAGAATAACACTAACGGATCAATAAACAATAAGTTTTTCCTTCTAAAAATAATTTTTGAACCGGTATTTCGTTGAAAAAACACTCGTGGCATTTCCTGAAAAAATTATCGACGCGAAGGGTCGATATTCTATTTCAACACACTGAGATTGTGTTTTCATTCCTTATCTCTAACACTAATAAATGAGGCGGAACCAGAGACGGTAAAGTAGATCTCAAATAAGAATACCTCCTCCAGATTTACTCACTATCAAGAACTGCAGCATTTAGAGCCCCTTTACAGCATGATTCCTAATATCTGTAGAGCCCTATTTCATACAACTTAGTTGGAAACTTTCTCTAATAAGAAGACTCTTCTGGAATGGTCCTTCCTTGCGACTACCCGACTTCAGCTCTGAGAAATCACTAAGGTTTACTGTGGTCTTTTGCAAAGACGGCTCTCCTCCAACTCGTTATAACCCACATTCTAATTTAGTAAACAAGCCGCAGCTGCTTTATCAATTACTTGAACTCCGCTAAACCACCCAAACAACCGAGCTATTTGAAATTCAACCTGTCACCAAAAGCACCGCAGTGCCTAAAAGAAAGGAAATAAAACTTTTTTAAAAAATCTTCTTTTCTTTACATGATCAACATATTATGTCTAAAATATGTTAATTGTCCATAAGCGTTCACTTAAATCAAGTGTCCAGTAATTTCGTGTAAAAAGCTACAAAGTGAGAATGGTCCTTCTCGCAACTAAAACAAGAATGTTTCAGATCTTACGACGCTGGATCTTTGAACAATTGTACACAAATGTCCGGAACTTCTCATTAATAAGAGGTAAACACTAATAATTTATGGTTCAAATGCAAGGGAAAACAACTAGATTGGGAAGAGTTGGGACGCTGCAAAAGAATGATACTCGGCAGATATACCTTTTCTATTCGCCACTGTATAAGAACAAGGAGGGACAACAATGAAGATGATTTCCGCTTACTCTTCAATACAGTTTTGATTTGAGATTCTATAATAATTGGCTTCCCTGATAACAACATTTGAACAGATAAAAATAAATTCTACAAATGACTTTTGATACTCCACCATGTATAGTTTTGGAAATTACAGGAATGGAAATCGTACCTTGCAAGAAACTTTAAGTCCCAAATGATATGATAGGCAAATGTCTGTAAAACGACAACACCGGCTAAAATCCCGCAAACTATACCGACCTAAGAAGCTATACTGATTAAAAATCCATAAACTCCAATTAAATAAAATAATAAAATGGCAAAGCAACGAACCTTTTTTCGTGCCATAACCATAACACATGGAATAATCTGCCCAAAGAAATTAAAGACAACAAAAAGAGTAGAAAGGAACCATCCACAAGACCATGATTCCTAAAAATTTTTGACAAAAAATAACGAGACAGGTATGACAAAAGTTATATCTTAACTGAAAATCAAGTACTAAAATTTACATTACAGCAAAAATAAAAAATTTTTCAACCTGCATAAACTGACGCTGATCATCCCATTGAATCCACATACGAATACCATCTTCAATAAAGGTAGATATTAGACATAAACGTGCTATATGAGGTAATAAATGTTTCGTTTTACGAAGAACCTGCAAATATTACCCAGTAAAACTGTCCAAATTACATAGAGAGAATAAGTTAACGTAGAATTACACCACACTGCAGGAAAAGAATGCGCTGAGAAATCAATACAGCTAACTTAAAAAAAGCTCAGTGAAGTGATTACCGCATCAGCGTAATCTTCAGCAGCATTCAAAAACTCTTTCCGGTTGCCTGTCCGAAACTGATCCATAACTGGTTCCAACGTTTCACCCTGAAAAAAGCTATTATTATACAAATACACCTATGATAAGAAAGAAATCTCAACAATGAAAGACGAACATGATATTACTACAACAACAACAACAACAGCAAGGGAAAATAGGGAACACTACACAGGTAATGAAATTTTTAATTTGACAGAATTAGGTGACTTAACCACTTATTTTATTTATATTCTGTTAAAACAGTATCAAAGAATAACTGAAACTGACGTCTCTCCAAGATTAAAAGAAAAAAAAAAA